CATCAGAGAAGAGAGTCCCATCTGGGGTCTGCTCCTCAATTCCTCTCACTACTTATCCATGTATGCAATTAAAGGTCTCATTAGATGATATATGATGTAATGTCAATATGTCATGCATGCATCTAATATCATGCTATCACTTCATATCTGATGTCATGTCATACAAGCAAACAAACATCAACAAACTATGGTTCTGCGGCCGTTTTTCCTGTTTTCCATGAATCTGTTACTTATAGTACATAAGTTTTCAGTTTTTGCCATGCTAAACAGAGCTTTCACAAAAATATGAATCTTTGTGTTTTGCAACTTTAAAATTCTCCAAGATCATAAATATGAAGTTGCTCAAATGCCTCTATTTCATTTGCTACTCCTTAAGTCCTAACCCAGCATCCTGGATTTGCTTAAAACAACTGTTATGAATGTGATTCTACTCAAATTGAAATCAAGGTTGATGAAAGAAAAAAAACTATTTTAAGACTGGACATGCTAACCAAGAAAGGAACCAAACTCCAAAGAATAAAAAAGGTTCATGAATAATGATGATCAAAGATCTCTTTGAAGATTAATATAAACCCGGTCAGATTACCAAAGCTATGGGTGCTCAATGATCAGGTCAGAAATCCTATCATATAAGGAATGCTGGTTTGTTTCTTGGACCTGTACTGCAGCAATAAGCGCCATTGCTATTGTAGTATCCTTTTTGGATCTTTCTTTTTCCAAAATAAGTTGTACAGTGACATTTCGTTAGCAATGGGCACAAAATCCAGTTCCTTAAACATTTATTGCATCCATATTACCATACAGGGCACACCAGTTTAACCACAAATTTTGACTCAACAAAGGGGGGGGCAAGATCCAGTGCCGGAGGCTCCCACATGAGTGGGGTCTGGGGAAGGGAAAAACCAAGGCAAGCCTTCCCCCCGCAAAATCTGCGGAGAGGCTGCTTCAAACCCGCGACCTGGTGACTCAGTGAGACAGCTCTCACCACTGCACCAGGCCTGCCCTTCAAAAAATATTAGGTGCCTGTTTAGTTCCCAAAATTTTGCAAAATTTTTCAAGATTCCCCGTCACATCGAATCTTTGGACACATGCATGAAGCATTAAATATAAATAAAAAATAAAACTAATTACACAGTTTAGACGAAATTCATGAGACGAATCTTTTAAGCCTAATTAGACTATGATTGGACACTAATTGCCAAATAACAACGAAAATGCTACAGTACCGTTTCCCAAAAAATTTCGCCAACTAAACAAGGCCTAGTTCTAAACAGGGCAAAATATTAGTTCTCAATAAAAACAACTAAAAGAACAGAACAGGTATTCTTTTTAATACTAAAATTATATGAGAATACAAGGCATGGCATTGCCACTATTTCCATACAATTAGAAATGTGTGCATTCTGAATTCTAATATTCAGACCCCATCCACAATAGACTAACACTTTTTTTTTCTTTGAACAAAGTGACCAACACTATGTACTAAGTATATATGCGCGTCTAGATTTCACCACCTCACTACTCAATTCTGATGATTCAGATGGACACTGAACTCCACATCTCCCAAGTTATGGTTGCCCTTTCTGCTTTTGCTTGGATGCTTTACAACTAAGGCCCGGGCAAGTCTAATCTGAAGAAGTTGTGTCTCTAGGTTGGGTTGTACTAATAAGATGTTGGGTAACAAACCTGGCCTAGGCTATTGCGTGCAAATTGTTTGAAGCAGGAATCATGAGCCTAACACCTGCAATCCTGTTTGCAGCTTTGCCATTGGAACGTTGAGCAAGCAACTAATGCACTTGAACCATATCATATTCAGCTGCTGTCATCATGTCCAGCAATGGATACAGCCATTTGCCATCAGAAGAAACCTTAGCCAACTGTGCCACAAGCTGCAGAAGACCCCCCCCTTCACAATTCCATATGGACAGTTGGATGTCAGGACGAGAGAGAGAGAGAACCCCTGCACATGACATCATCATTTCACATTTGTGCTGGGGGTGGGGACACAGGTAGCAGCATCCAGCAGGATAGACAACCTCAGCCTTCCTGGATCCTCGTCGGTCGACTGACCACAGCTTTCATTGCTTGGTCAAGATTCAAAAGGAGACATATTTGTGAAGATGGCGATAAAGATTGTAGGATCCCGAGTGAAAACCATCACAATGTGGATCCGAATTTCATAAGATCTGTCCTAGGTTGGAAGGATTGGTGAAGACTTGCTCCTATACCACCCTAATTTGAGAATGCGGTTCGACAAATGCTAGTCTGGATAGCGAACAGAACACATGGATCCCCAATCTCCAGCAAGCAGTCGCATTTTTGTTGGTTTTTTTTGGGGGTGTGTCAGTGTGATTGTGTGAACCCTGGAATGATCGAAATCATGGAACGGAAGTAGAAGAAAGGCCATGGATTTGATTTCCGTACGTACCTTGGAGGTTGTGTAGCTATTTACCGACCAATGCAGCTGAATCCCCGGCAGACTGCGAGCCAGGCGGCGAAGAGGATTGTGAGGAGGAGGAGATCCGCGAGGATGACCATCCAGAGCTGCCGCCTCCACGTCCAGCCGGGTCCGGCCCGCCCCCGGTGCGAGGCTCGGTCCCTCTTGGGCGTGGTCCGCGCGACGAGGTCAGCGTCCCTCCGCGCGGCCTCCTCCTCCGCGTGGGCCTCGGCGGCGGCGACCTCGTCCGCCTCGCGCGCGTGGTCGCCCGGCGGGAGCGGCAGGCGCAGCGCGAGGCGCGGCATCTCGTCCCGCATCCGGGCCTCGGGGAGGCATCGCAGGCGGCGGAGGAAGAGCAGGAGCTGGGACGCCGGGAGGTGGGGCGCCCGCGAGATGGCGGCGAGCGCGAGCGGCGGGGACAGGAGCAGCGCGTGCGCGCGCCCGGCGGCGGTGTGCGTGAGGTGGCGGTGGTGCGGCGGCGCGGCGGCGACGAGCGCGGCGGCGAGCGCCGGGAGGTCGTCGTCGGGGGCGGGGGCGGGGGCGTCGGGGGCGGCGACGGGGTCGGCGGCGGTGCTCTGGGAGTGGGAGTGGGCGAGCTCGGCGACGAGGTGGGTGTCGCGGAAGACGCAGGCGTAGAGCAGCGGGTGCGAGGCCGGGAGCATCCGAGGCAGGCCCCGAGGCGGGGGAGCGGAGCGGCGGGGAGAGAGAGAAGGATGTGAGGGATCCCGGGCCGGGCTGGAGTTGCTCTGGCGGCGAGGCGATGCGGAAGAAGAGGAGAAGGGAAGCTTTGTTGTTGCCTGCTCTGCTCTGCTCTCCTCTGCAGGAGAGGAACGGGGGCCACGACAGACTGGACTTTTCTATCAGATTTCAGTTCCTGACACAGCCTGTTCGTTGGTTTTTGACTGCGGCTGGTGCTGATTAGTGGAGAGAAAAAAAACTATTAGCTGAATGATAAGTGCGGGATTGAAATCGAATGAAAGCTGAGTAATAAGTTTATTATAAAAAAAATATATTTTATAATTAATTTAATGATATTTATTATTAATCATAAATAAAGTATTTTTTTATATATTTAGTTAAATTTGGAAAAAGAAAATACGATGTGCACACACCTCACCATGGGACCGATGGAGTATGTCAGTTCAACGAACAAGAACGACAAACAGCGATGGATCGAGTCTGACATAGTATGTTTGTTTGGCTGGTTCGTATCATCGCTGGTTCGTGAAGAAGTACTATTAGTTGGTTTGTGTGAGAGAAAAATATTACTCTAGAGAAAAATATGTGACCAGTGTCCACGTGAGGAGGCCAGCCAGGCAGCACCAGCCAATTGCATACCCCTATCCTATGTGGAATCACGCCGTTGAGATCCATCCATCTCGCAGCAGCAGTATTTCATTTCATTTCATTCTCATGATGATGATTTATCTGTTCATGTGTTGCTCAGGCAGGCAGTAGTGGTCCATGCTGCTGCTGCTGGACACAGCAGCATGCATGTCGGCTGGGAAATTCTTTCTAAATGAAATACCTGCTGCAATAAGATCCAAACCCAAAATACATACATACATGCGTACATGTGGTTTGATTTCGAGTTGCAACGGCCATATCCACGTGCTCATGTGTTGCTTGTTTACATGTCACCTCAAACGTTTCTCGCCCTGGATCGACTTGATCCATCGTCAATCGTATCTGAATTGAATTATGGCCCGTTTGGCTTGCTGAAATTTAACTGAATTGGCTAAAAAATATTGTTCGATTGAATTGTTGTGAGAGAAAAATATTGTTCCCGCTGAAAAAACAAGTTGAATAGTGCGGATTATAAGGTAAGCCGAACAGGGCCATATATACAATCCCTGCAAAGCGTCTTAGAAATTATGAATTTTAAAAGAGTCTATTTATCTAACAATTGAGTGTTTCAACACTTAATTTTTTTCCTCATCTACTGTTCATCTTCCTCGTCTCCCCTACTACCGCCCACCGCCCCGCCGTGGCGTGGTAGGGCTTCGCTGGAGCTCTGCCACCGTGGTCGCGGCCGTGGTCGTGGAGCTCCGACCAAGCCCTACCATGCCCGTGGTGGCCTCACTCTTCCCACCACCACTTTCTTCTCCAACCCCTATGAACAGCCGCGCTCCCCCGCTCCGACCTAGCCCTTAAACCGTCCTGCCACCATCCCCACCGCCTGGCCTGCCGTTGATACATAGACACAATAATAGGAGTATAATGAAGAGATTTGAACGAATTCATCAACCTTCATTTAATTTGCACAACTCTACAACCATATATTGCAACAACATGCATGTACTCACTCTCTTTCAAGTTTCAACTAGCACCGTACTAACACAAGGTTTTACACATCGTATCGTACGTGTACAGTATATGCACGTACGTCCAAATCTCTTTGTACGTACGTACTGTGTATAAAACTGCAACTGGTGGAACGATCGTAATTAATTGAACAAAACGCTACTGTACATCATATATTATATATGATGCCGTATGTATGTCTTTGCATTGGATCCAATGCATGCATCCATGCAAATGACTAAATGAGCATGCAATGCAATCAGTGGCAGATGGGGCACATCATGAGCCCGTTCTCGTTGCACTTGCCGCACCTCTCCGTCGCCGTGGCCGCCCCTCCGTCCGCCGCGACCACCACCTTGCAGCTGCCGCCGCACTCCCAGCACGGCACGAACCGTGCGCCGCCACAGCCCTCGCAGCCGCGGCCGTCCTTGGCCGCGCACGCCTCGCCACGGGCCTTGGCCCACCGCATCATCTCCCGCAGCTTCCCTGACTCGGCCAGCCTGGCGCACTCCTCGGCGCCGCCCACGTATCGGCCCATCACGAAGAGCCGTGGCGGCGGCGCGCCCTCGCCAGCCAGCTCCCGCAGCTCGCGGAGGTACTCCCCGTGCAGCGACACGTCGCGCTCGTCCACGGCCCGCCACGCCCGCCGCCGCCGCGCACGCCTCCACCGCCTCCCGCGCGCGCTCGCAGTCCTCGAACGTGCGACGCACGCCGCGGAGCGTCGTCGTGTACAGCACCACGCCGCCGCCCGTCGCGCCCGGGGGCCGCCGCTCGGGGCAACCCTCGAACGGGTCCCGCTTCTTCCACCGCGGCGGCGCGGTGGTGCCGTCGCCGTCGCCGGCGCCCTTGCTCTCGCGGTCGCGCATGAGGAACGGGTTGTCCTTCACGACGCGACGCCCCGCGAGCTCTGGCGGCGCGGGCTTGCTGCTGCTGATGTCTTGTAGGTCGCCGAGCAACAGCGGCGGCGCCTTCTTGCCAGCAACGTCGCCGTCCGTGGCAGCAGGCACCACGGGCGGCGCCGTCATCGTCGGCTTCTGCTCCTGCTGCGGTTGAGCAGCTGCTGGTTGCTCTTGCTTCTTCTTCTTCTTGGTCTTGTTCTTCTTCTTCTTGAGAGCAGGAACAGGAGCAGGCGGCGGCTTGGAGTCGAGGACGGGCTTCATGTCCTCCAGGGCCTTGCTGACCTCGGACCACGACGCCGGGGCGAGCTCGTATCCCTCGAGCTTGTCGAGGAGCGGGAGCGGCACCACGGTCTTGGCGGCGGGCTGCTTCTCGTCGTCGTCATCGGTCGTCTCTTCCTCCTCCTCTGGTCATCATCATCAGCGGCTTTGCTCTGCTTGGCGATGAGCCAGGGCTCCTCGACGGCGCTGATGTCGAAGAGGGAGACGCTGGTGGGTGGCGGGCGGTAGACGTCGGCCACCACGACGTCCTCGCCGGCCTTGGAGCTCGCGCACCCCATGGGCTAGCTACCTCGCTCTGCGGATGTGGAGCAGAGTGGAGACAAGAAGAGTAGTTTGTTGGCGCATGGAGTGCGAGGTTGTGGAGGGAAGAAGGGCAGCTCAGCAGAGTTTTTGAGTGGCTGCCTTGCTCTCTGATAAGACGATGCCTGGTTGGGATTTGGATTTGGGAAATGCACGCCTCTGTCAAGTGTCAACCTCCATCCGAGCCCTCTCCAACCTAACCTACTGGGATTTCTCTTCTGCGCCGTAGGAAGGAAAAAGAACAGATTAATTCCCGTTTGCCAAAATTCACAGCTTTTTTTCTTCAAAAGGAAGAATTCACATAACATAGCGAATTTATCGATGGATACATACTTCTCTTCAAGTAGGGCATCAAACATAAAATAGCTGTATGTAATCCCTGACGTCTTACGGCTTAAATTTTCACAGGAACTGGCCCAATTCCTGTATGTGATCCCATACAGCTAGACTAGATAGGAATCCGTTCAATTCACAGCCTACATACAGCACGGATATAATACTGTGAAAACAGAACAACAGAAGGACCCAACGTCAGGTCAGTATCACTGAACACCGATGCAGCCTGTGACAAGTGACTGCCTTGCCCACCATATATATCATATGGTCCACGTACTCTACAGACAAAATCCATACATGGCCGTGCAATTGCTTGCCTTCCTTGCATTCATTTCAGGCCACAGGTGGTTATTTCTGGCTGCAACACGTTTGACCCCCTTTCCATTTTTCCTTTTCCTTTTTCTTTTTTGTTTTTCCTTTTACAGACAGAAATATGGCGGCTACTTGTATCATCAGGATCAAAGTTTGAATATAGAGACGAGGATGTTTGAAATTATGTGTACGAATACCATAGCCGCGGCACCGGCACAAAACCTCAGTCGCCACTATTATGCACTGCTGCTTCTTAGAAATACAGATATAAGCCGGACTGGAAATACAGATAATGGTGACATCTCACAACATCAGTACAAAAAGGTTAGATAGAAGCCCTTTTCGGGGCCAACAATACTGCTTGCATAAGCAACACAGTTCTGCTGCTACTCAAAAAGTTGCTCCATATCTCAGATCAAGTGATGAGTTTGGAAGATTTTGCAACAACCTATAAATAATATTCTCCCAACAGACTGGGACTCTAGTCTCTATATTCAGCCTAATTAGCCTCTTGGAGCATATGCCACTCTGCAAACAGGGACACATGTGACATATTCACAAACATGAACCCACATATTATCACTAGCTTCACTACCTACACAATTACCATCATCAGAAATCTGACCGTCGGCTTTAGATTATATATATATATATATATATATATATATATATATATATATATATATATATATATATATATATATATATATATATATATATATATATATATATATATATATTACTCCCATATGTATATCTCTAGATTTTATGTATATATCTCTAGATTTAGGCGATAGTGTAAGTGTATGTAGATGGAGTATATCATCATACTAGACCATCTAGGGTACTATGTATGACAAGTATGTATGTATACTTAGAGTATATGGTTATACTTATTTTATATGCTACTATCATAGTATTATATAATATATTAAAAAATATGTGCTCTTTTGAATTTTGTTTTCACATAGTAAAGATCTGGAGTATGTCAACATACTCAAACTGATAAATGAGTATGTACACATATGATTTATTGATTATGGGAGTAACTACTCCTGGGAGTATATAAAATGCACCATATATATATATATATATATATATATATTGCTAGAAATAAACGAACAAAACATTACAAAGCGATGTGTTGTCACCTCTGGACAGATCATGGGGCAAATGATTCGCTCATAACGAATGCTTGAACAAGACTTCGGGCTGCATGCATCTGGTCTGGTGTACCAGATATCAAAACAGCAGTGTCCATTGAATCGGCAATAGGTTCAGCAACAGTTATCTTAGCTTCAGAAAACTGCACATAATTAATAGGTCAAGCACGCTTGTCAAGCTAACAGTTGGACACAATACACAAAATACTAGTTGGATACATACCTCACGGATCCTATCCAAACAACCTCCATCCTCACCACAGAGAGCAGGGATAATTAATCTTGGAACTAAAACCTCTGCAGTCAAGTTTGGCATCATAGATGGCTGACCAGGACTGCAAAGACAACTTATCAGGTTTAAACACAATGTTTCCTTAAGTTGTTGATTAAGAAGAGTATACCCCCATAAAAAGAAAATGTGAGAGAACAAACAAACCCAGAAAATCCACCAGCTTCTCTATGCCCTGCTCCAGGGATATCAGATATTGACACTGGATCGCTGAGATCACGCAAGCCCTGCAAAATTTGGGTCTGAATTGCATCAGAATAAGAATCTTAAGGAGCGTGGAAGTCTATAGGATAATGCATCATGCCACGAGCTCAAGCAGTAGTGATCAGTTGGTTTGGTACCTTCACTGTCCAAGGAGCAGAGATCCCATCCAATGGCCATCCCATAAAATCTTTATGAAACAGGGATGGCGATTCATGGTTTCCCGCAAATGGACCAAACTGAGAATCTAACAAACCAAAAGGTGGCCGCATATTAGGCCCCATTGCAGGCATTCTATCCACCCGGAAAAGGTGGTTACGAAGCCTAGCAGTAATCTGCATTAGAGCTTCTTGAATAGCTTCACAGCTCCCGCTTATCTAAAAATAGCAATTTGCAGATAGTAAGCCAAAAATAACTAAAGGTGAAGTAGATAAAGGTATGGATACTTTCTTTCAACAGTTACTTTGACAATTCTCGGATACAATACAACAAAAACAGACCTGAATAACTTCATCATGCTCTGGGACACCCCTTGGAATCTTGTCTTTGCTCAACACTACTATAAATGCTCCTGACAGCTTCCTCATTTCAGCTATGATACTACCACCTTTGCCGAGAACACAACCAACTTGGTTTGCTGAAATGATCATCCTACATATTGAAGGACCTTCCTTCTTATCAGAGGTAGGTAACATAATTTTATGCTGCACATGCAGAATGGCATTCTGTGCAGGGGATATTCCATCACTTGGATGCTACAGAACAGATGCAAAGGCAAATAGATACATCAGTCATCACTGACTATTCTCTCCTTGTAAACTTCATACGACAATGAAATACTTCAGAGTTAAGTCCATGAAAATCTTATAAATTCTTTTAAGTCATTAGAATTGCAAAAAAAAAAAGGAAAGAGTCACCAAATGAATTAATACCTCTCAAGAGTCAAATTAAGGAAATTTGTAAATAGAGCATGCAAAAATGTATCAACATTGCACTAACACTAAATGGATCCACAAAATTTACAACTCTAGAAATAATGGATGGAGTCTGACAAAATAAAGCGTAAGGCTCAGCCGAATGCCATTTTTCCCAGTAAGCAGATGGAAAATGCATTAAATGCGAACAGATGGAAATCTAATACAATCATTTGCAACAAGAGATAGTGAAAGTGGTTACCGCAGGTCCAGATATACTTATGATGCGATCATCTGTTTTTGGAACAGTGTCAAGAACTTTAATTTCACAGCCCGTATCTTTTTGAATAGTTTTAACAATATTTCCACCCTTGCCTATTATACTGCCAACCTTGTCTTGTGGACACAGCATCCTAAAGGAGAGGGATTCTATAGGCACTGAGGCATGGCCATGTATCGGAGGTTGAAGATCAATGATATCAAAAGGTCCATTGGCTTGGGATGGCCCTTGCAAAGGGATATGGAAGTTAGATTGCATTCCTGAAGGAAGACCATCAGACTGGTTGAACAAAGAACGTGATGATGATCCAGAAGAATGAACACCAGCAACTGCATCAGTTTCCTTGGGTGGATGAGCTAAGAGCAATTCAGATACAGCATTGAGACCTTTCCTTACTGAGTCAATCTCTCCAGTGATCTGTATGAATGATATATCAACAAACACCAAGAGCAAAAGCAAGTATTTACAACAAAAACTGAGACCTTACAGCATGATCAAAGGAAAGTTACAAGAGACAACCATATGGAACATGACAATGAAATCCAGTGCTGAAAATTATACCTGGCAAAGTTTGTCATTCAATAATGCACATGCTGGAAGGTTGTCTCTCAAAACACGGATTTCACAGCCGTTATCAGCTGACATTTGTTTAATCACACTACCACCCTTACCCAAGAGCCAACCTGCTTGGCTGTACAGAACCAACAATCGCAAATTAACAGGAGTGCTTGCAGCTGACAAATTCCCAGTTTCATTATTATCTTCAGCTGCAAAAATCCTATCGAAGACAAGCGAAACAGCCTTCAGTGCTGATGGTATTACCCTCTCTGGTTCTGACTTTGTAACTTCTGTAACAAAAGGATCATCCTTTTCTTCCTTATCGTGTTCTTTCTCTGAATGATCCTTCTCTTCCCTAATGTGGTCTTTCTCTGAATCATCCTTTTCTTCCGTACTGTGGTCTTTCTCGAAACCGTCTTCTTCTTCCTTACCGTTTCCTTTCTCTGAATCATCATTCTGCTCCTTGCTGTTGTTTCCCTCTGGATCATCATTTTCCTCCTTGCTGTTATCTTTATCCCTCTCAAGGTCACCACCAGTAGAAGCAGCAACACCTCCGTCATTCTCTCCGCCTCGCTCGCTGCTAGCTTCTTCATCCTTGTCGACAGCAGTTATGAAAATAACTCTCTCATCACAACCGGGGGCTGCTCTATCAACCCTGATTCTCATTCTGGTTTCTTCCCGTATCTTTGCAATAATGGCACCTCCTTTGCCAATTACATTACCAGATTTTGAAGCTGGGCAGAGAATACGAAAAATGGGAACACCAGGCTCAATTTTGAACTGAGATTTATGTGGAGAAGAATGCTTCGTCTTCAGCCACTTGCCCCGTCCATTGAAGTCTGAAGAATTTTTCTGAAACGGCCTCTTGGAAGGTGTCATGCGTGAAGCCATGCCTTCTCCTAGTCGACAAACAAGCAGAGAGCAGCAATGTTAGTGTAAAATGAGGTACGACGGCCAGGACGGACCCAGTGAAGGACATGGGTGTACATATGTACACCCAATATTTTTGCCAAAAAAAAAGTTTGTAGGCATACATACATATACTACACTTGGAATCCGATCAGATCAGATCCGAATACACATAGCTAGGGTTTGGATGCTCGGGTTCGCACAGCTGGAACGACGGGAGACAAAGCTAGGGTTTGGATGCTCGGTTTCGCACAGGAGAAACAGAAGACAAGGGGTGGGCGTACCTGGTGGGTGCTCGCCGCCGACGAAGATCACGAAGATGGAGGCCTCGGCACCTGGCGTAGGGCGGCGGCGCCCAGTCGTCGGCACCAGAGACGGGAAACAGAGCGCACGCGAGGGCCACGGGGCACGGGAGAACCGCGAGACACACAAGAGTACTGAACTGGAGAACAAAAGGCGGGCCGGACCGACGCCGAAGGGTTTTGAGGCTCCGGCCCACTATTCTCTATATTATTAAGATCTGATATTTTTTTTAGAAATAATCCATTTTATCTCCCCCAAGTCCCTAACTATCGTGAAAGCCGCTTTTCCTCTCTTAATTTTTTAAAAAAAGGAATAGTTCTTCCTCGTCTCTCAGAACCGGTCCCCGACCTCCATAACTGTTTCCCTTGTTTTTTTTTTCTTTTATGTTTATTTCGGTTAAATCTTTAAAAAATCATAATAAATCATAGAAAAATCATAAAATAGAAAATCCAATTAGGTTGGACTCCACATGAGTAGATCTACACGGTGAACATATGACATACTATCCTTTAGCACAAAGTTTTGTTGTGACTTTATATCTATATTTTTCTATAATTAATTCATAGATGTGGTTTCTCTAGTCCAGTTATGATAAAATTTTTATGGTGGGCTAACCGTTACATGCTTGAGCTATAGCAAAAGTTTCATGCTCATTTGATCACATATGATTGAGTTATAGGTTTATGTTTGTTAAATAGTTTTAAAGTGAAATTAAATCTATAACTCAGACATACATGATCCAAGGAGCATGAAATTTTTGTTGGACTCCACATGATTAGATGTACATAGTAAACATATGATATGGTATGTTTTAGTACAAAGTTCTTGTTGTAGCTTTAGATGTAAGCTTTTCTCTAATTAATTCATAGCTGCAGTTATGTTGTCCAATTATGGTGAAATTTTTATGGTGGGATAATCATTGAATTCTTGAGATGTAGATAAAATTTCATGCTCACGGGATCATGCACATATCTAGATAAATGAATAAGTCTGTCATATATGATCCAATGAGCATGAAATTTTTTCTATAGCTGAAGCATGCAATGATTAATCCATCATAAAAATTTTACCATAATTGGACCAAAGAAACCACGGCTATGAATTAATCATAGGAAAACATAGATATAAAGTTACAACAAAAACTTTATGCTAAAGCATAGTATATAATATGTTCACTGTGTAGATCTACTCATGTGGAGTCCAACACAGTTGGATTTTCTGTTTTATGATTTTTCTGTGATTTACTATGATTTTTCAAAGATTTAGCTGAAATAAACATAAAAGAAAAAAAGAAAAAACACCAAGGAAAACAGCCATGGAGGTCGAGTGACCAGTTTTGAGAGATGAGGGAGGAACTATTCCTGGTTTTAGAATTGAGGGAGAAAAAGTGGACTTTCGCGATAGTTAAGCAAGGTAAAATGGACTTTTTCCTATTTTTTATATACCTACTATATATCTTAATATTTAATCGTGTAACGGCATGCTTCAATTAATCTAGAAATAAAACATCAGATACATCATGACACAAATTAGCCTGAGAGTATGACACTTAATGCATGCCAACATGTTTGGTGCGGTGGTGTCTCTCCTTTGATAGTTGGCAACCTTCAGTTTGAGTCCATATTCTTCAGCTCTTTGCTACTCCAAAAGCCTCAACACCACAGCTTTAGCTTGAGATTGTGACACTCATTGAGACTCCAAAGAGTTTAGTCACTCAAGGCAATAGCATATATATGAGCATGGTTAGCGCATCTAGTATTATGACTAATCAACTACAGTTACATGACAGAATCAACCAAGAAGGAGAAAGCCAAATACACCTACCGAAGAGACAATTGAGCAGTTGTCCAGTGGGAGTGAAGACACTGGTGGCTCTTAGTTCATTGTTACTCTTCTAATCGACACATTAACTATACTTGGTCCTCTGATTTCTAACGTGTAGAGTTGTTCCATATTTGGTACTTTGGTGTCATCGTGGGAGTGAGGGTGCAAGACTTAGGAGGTAACGAGAGCATGTCTCGCTAGGGCCCTTGGTTCTTCTTTGCATTGCACGTTGGTTATGTACTTAAAATTTCTATTACTTTTGTATGTCTTAACTAACCCATTTGCACTAGTAGAGAAATGACATTTAACCCACTTCGAAATTTGGCTTTAGTTCTGATATTTTTCGCGCTCGGGACTAGAGAAATCTTTAATACCGGTTGGTAGCTCCAACCGGAACTAAAGGTCCTACCCAACGGCTACTGTGGCAAGCTTTTGTTGCAGGGGACCTTTAGTTTCGGTTGGAGCTACCAACCGGGACTAAAGGTTAACTTTTACTCCTGGCTGGTCCCTCCAACCAAGAGTAAAAGTCTACTCCTGGTTGGAGGCTCCGTCCGAGACTAGAAAGGGACATTTAGTCCCAGTTGCTATCTCCGACCGGGACTAAAGGTCTCCAACCGATTGAGGTCTGTGGAGTGCCGGCCGCGTGACGACTCAGAGCTATACGTGTATGGGAGCGAGTCCCGGCTGCTACATTAGCTAGCTAGCTAGCTGTTCACCGTCAGTATGTGTAAGCCAACAAAATAGTCTCTCTCTCTGCTAGCTAGCTGCTACACTAGTACGTAGGAAATCAATTAGTCCCGGCTGATCCCGGCTGACCATCGAGGACTGCTAGCTAGCTGCTACACTAGTACGTAGGAAATCAATTAGTCCCGGCTAACCATCGAGGACTGGTATTGTACGTAGGAAATCAATTGATTTGAACACGACCAAATCAATTAGTCCCGAGCGTTTATAGGAGCCTCGATGGGCTGGCTCGACCTGAAGTCCACACATAGGAGAGAGCATATATCATAATGAAGCGGCCCAGTCCGCAATATGCTGGAATTGCTGGCCAATCCCACCTATTAGCACCACCTCGCTTGCTCAGAAGAGTGAAAGCTAACTTAAAAGCTCAGCTCTCGAACCATGTAGCACGAACTTGAACAAGATCTGCTCTATAGGATTGTACCGCTGATCCTTGACTAAAGGTCCTTTGTACTATAGTTTATACAAAATGTTGAACATTATAAACGTACGTATATTCTAGCAGCGTAGAATGCGTATTCAAAAACAAAACGAATCATCAATTAAAAATAGAAAAAAAAGGAAAATAGAAATAGAAACAAAAAAAACCTGGTAGCAGTGTGAAAATAGAAAAAAAGGAAAATAGAAATAGAAACAAAAAAAGAAAAAAAACATTTAGTCCTGGTTGGTATTATCAACCGGGACTAAAGGGCCGGTCTACGTGGTCAGGCCGGGAGGCCTCTTTAGCCCCGGTTGGTATTACCAACCGGGACTAAAGGTTTAGTCCCGGGCGCGAAACCGGGACTAAAGAAGAGACTCTTTAATCCCGGATTCATGCTCCCGGTTCCAAAACCGGGACTGAAGGGGGTTGCGAACCGGGAGTACATCTAGTTTTCTACTAGTGTTGGTTTTGTATGACAAGTGATTCCTTAAAGCTTTATTGTCTCTCTCTTGTCACTGGCACTTGTTTCATGGGTTTTCTCTTAAATCTTAATCGAAACAAGTGGTTAAGTTCTAAGCACATTTATAATATCACTCGTATCCTTTTTGTGCTCATGGCTCGTTCAAATTTCACAATTTTTTATCTATTAAAAACATGTGTTGTCATCAATCGTAAAAAAAGGAAGATTGAACACACCTAGGCCCTAAATTGGTGATATTTTTGGGTTTTAATGGTTGGCAAAGACAAGTGTTGTGGCTATCGTGTGTTTTACAGTTGTATTAACATTGGAGTTGGTCACAATTTGAATGGCCACAAGTGCCTTGCCCTCGAAGACTTCATCCTTGTTTGCAAGGTAAAATGTGTTTTTTTAAAATAAACTCAAGCACTAGGGTTAGACATAACAAGTAGCTTTGATGATAAACTCAATCACTCCTCTAGTGCTACATGGGATAACACCAGTAGACTAATTTATGGTACAAATCCATTGCTTTATAAGTCAGTAATATTCTTAAAAGGGAAATATGAACATCCTAAATTCTTAAAGAAATTGAGGTAATCCCCCTCCTCCCAGGTTCCTTAAGAAAATTATATTATTCAAAGCCACAATCCATTTATTGTCAACATAGGTTTATGTCATTTTTTTTGCGTGGGCAATTGGTTGCCTAGATGGAAATCGCTTGAAACGATAAACATTTTTGCGAGGAATGAATAACTTACACGAAACAGAAGTGGTCTCACTGTATGTACTTTCCTTACACGAAACATTTGTAATAATAGGCACACCACTCGTGATTCGCATGGAACTTTATAGCGTAAATATGTCACTGCATGCGTCACCCTCTAGTATAAAAGAGATTTAGTGGGTTAGTATTAGAATTTTGTAGAGGAGTCAGCGAAGAGATCTGTAACACCCGGGTGTTAGTCATGAGTTAAGCAGCGAAATTGCACTTAAGTAGGATATGTCAAGCAATGATCATGAGCTCTAGTTCATAATTTTGAAGTGATGATGAAGGTATTGAGGTCAAACCTATGAAAATGAGCCCCAACTTGGACTCGGACAATACACTTTGCTTACATGTGGACCCTGGTTGAGATTAGGCATGAGTAATGTTAAACATGCTTATTTCATGAACACTACATCAACATGCATCCATCTTGACTAGTGGAAAAGTTTCATGAAGTTTGGAAT